GGTAGTGTCATCAGAAATTCCATGATTGTCGGCTTATTCTTTGGACACCTGTCTACAGGGTCCCTCTGCACACTGACTTGGTGTCCTTTAGAATGTAGAAAACCCAAATTAACCTAGTTTAATGAACAAGGAAACCCCGTGGCTCTTAGGACTGTAAGCCCTGTGGTGGGGCCTGCTTCATGGCTGGAGGAGCTAAGTATTCTCTGGTTCACCAAAGTCCCCGGTTCCTTCTGTCTTTCTGCTTTCTGTCACCCACAGCATCGGCTTTGTCCCCGGCTCACTGCCAGTAGTAATCTAGCTGCCCGAAAACTTCTGAAATCCACAGCAAGGTGTTTCCAGAGGACTTCTCAGTAGGGCTGCAACCCCTTCCCCGCAGCCCCAGCAAGGGCCTCCCATGTCACTGCAGTCCCCTGGATGACAAGAAGAGGCCTGAGCTGGCCCTCCGGGAGCACCAGGCGCAGACAACCTCCTGACACGGGAGTCAGTGTTCTCAGAGCAGCATTTGTTGAGCCGAGCTAACCAAGTTCTCTAACAGAGGGCCTGGCCGTGTGGAGCCGCAAATGTCTGTCGTTAGAATAGCTCAAGGACAGGAGAAAAGACGGACAATCGGACCAGAATGGCGTCCCAGGATTTCTGCTCTGAGGAGAAAACAGGACTCAACACCATCTAAGGTCTCTTCCAACTCCAAGATTCTGCAATGTTATCTCTGTTTAAAAAGAGATATCCCACTTTTTGAAGACACAGGATTCACAAAGCATTTACTGAATGCTTACTGTATGCCAGGCCCTTTTCTCAAGTCTGCTTAACCAGGAGTGAAGAAGGCTGACATTACCATCCATGTCACACTCTGGTAGGAGGGGGATACAGTGGACACTATGAGTGTGTGAAATAGGTAGTACTTTAAAGAGTGACAACAACATGGGAAAGGAGGCTATGAAATACGAAGGCAACGGCTAGAGTTTTCATTTTAGATAAATAAATAGCCAGAGAAGCGTTGACTGAGGAAGCAGCCAGCCCTGTAAGAAAGGAGACCCCTGCCATGGCCCTGAGACAAGGGTTTGAGTGATTTCCTCAGGAGGCATTTCCAGGAGGGGAAGGAGGGAGAGGAAACAACGAGGGAAAAGTACAAGAAGGTGTGCTCACCCCTGAATGAGTCCCGGGGGCAACCTGGCTCCACCTGCCCAGGCTCCTCAGAGCATGTGGGGAGCACGTGGAGAGCATGTGGAGAGGGAGTGGGGGAGCCGTGGGGGAGTGTGGGCAGCACTTGGGGGAGCCCTGGGGGAGCATGGCCAGCACTTGGGGAGAGCATGAAGAGCCGTGGGGAGGGCATGGTGGAGCTGTCGGGGAGCCGTGGGGGAGCGCATGGGAGAGCCATGGGAAGCGCTGAGGGAGGATGCGGTGGCCACGGCTGCCTGGCACCCCCAGGCCATGGCCAGGAGACCCTCGGGCAGCGCAGGTGCTGGAGGCAGCGCCATCCATGCTGTGGACGGGTACCCCCAATTGGCAGTGGCCTCGGGGGTGAGCCAGAGGATGGGGTGACTGAGAGGTGACCAATGTGGGGACGGTGGTTTCCAAATAGAGGCGAGATCAGAGCAGGAGCTGGGAACCAAACCAGGTTTTTGGGACGTGGTTAGACTTTGACGCGGCCTGAGGCTGTGGCACATCTGATCCACTTTCTCACCAACATTGCGGTGGCTTCTAGGAAGGAACAGGCTGAAAGGGGTAAGGGAAAGGATGGGCGGTGGGGGGGGCGGGGGTGGGCACTGGAAAACCACCATTGCCAACATCCAGGCCAGGCAGGGGCGGTGGGGGCGGCAAGGGGGCCCATGGGGCTGGGCCGGGGCACAGGGGACCCCACTCCTGCGGCGGCAGCTGGGAAGAGGGAATTGCCATATTCCCTGGATGTACAACTCTGGGGACAAAAAACGGAGTCATCAGCATATTTACAGCCGTGGAATGGATGAGATGGCTGTGGTGACGGGCAGCAAGGGCGCCTGAGGCCTCAGCACCTGCAGGGTCCAGTGGAGGTGAGGGCAGTAAGCCAGCAAGCAACCTTTCTCCCTGGGGCAGTGCAAACAGACGGCCGCTGTCGCTGCTCTCAAAACCAAGTGGATGGCCGCTCGGGGTGGTCAGGCCTGTAATCCCAGAACTTTGGGAGGCTGAGGCGGGCAGGTCACCTGAGGTCAGGAGTTCGAGACCAGCTTGGCCAACACGGTGACCACCCCCTGCCCACTACTAAAAATACAAAAATTAGCCAGGTGTGGTGGCACACACCTGTAATTCCAGCTACTCGGGAGGCTGAGGCAGGAGAACCACTTGAACCCAGGAGGCAGAGGTTTCAGTGAGCCGAGATTGTGCCACTGCACTCCAACCTGAGCCACAGAGTGAGACTTTGTCTTAAAAAAAAAAGTGCAGAGGTGCTTTACATCTTTACATAAAGGAGAATGGTGTAAGACGCAGCTATGCGGTCAAACCTATGCGATTGAAACATTTGCAGAGAGAGAGAGAAAGGATGGGAGAAGAAAATATGAACTAAAAAACTCTTCTTTCTGTTTGCTTACTTGTGTGTTTGCATTTATGAACGCCAACATGAAATCTTGAACCTTAAATCTAGTATAAAAATATGGAACAGCCAGCTTCCTAGAGTGACTGCACCATTCTGTGTTTGCTGCCGGTGGACCTAGTATGAGTTTTGGGGCCAATATCCTTTTCTGCTAAAACAACTTGGCCTCTTGGAAGGAAAGTTGGACTCTGTTGCCGTGACTCAAACTGTTATTTCGTTTCTTATGATGTCTCCTCATGTTAAAAAAAGAAATGGATGTGGACAATATGGGTTTAAACATAATTTTGAATGAATGAGGGAATTCAGGTAGAGGGTTTCTCATAAGGTAGTTTCAATTGGTTAGATCTTCTAAAGAAACATGTAGGGTTCTCTTAGGAATTGGTTCATTAAATCTAAAGGGCAAAAAAATTAAAACACACTTCTGATCTATTTGTCAGAGTTACATATAATCATATCTTTCAAGAGCAGATGTGCCAAAGTATACACCACAGAGTGTAGCTGGATGACCCGAACTGACCACAAAAGTCATGTAACAAAATTCAAAGTTAGTTCCCCACGGGGCTGACATTTCAGACCTACACACAATTCCACAAACAAAGTCCCAAACATCACATTCTTGGAGGGATCCAGTACTATTGGCACCGATGCTTTAATCAGAGGGAGGCTCAAACCCACCGGAGTTAAGCTCTCAGAATGTCTTTGCTCCTTGGTAACTACAAGCAAACCTCCACAGCTGACTCTTTTGGAGTATTTTTTACATTTTTAATCGGATTATTTCTGAATTCTAAAACCACCGTTACCACCTTATTCTTGTAACTCTAACTCATTACTTTGAGTCAATTTTTAAAACTTGATTCACGAGAGTCAAGATTCAGGGTAGGCCGGGCAGTCCCTCATTCCTACCCTCAAAGAGCATACACTCAAATAGAGAATGAAACACGTGCCCCAAGTCAGAGACAAATATTATAAGCAAAAGCCAAGGTGTTTTGGGTCAGAGTGAGGTTTTGTCGGGGGGTCAGAGTGAGGTCTTCATGGAGGGGTAACAGTGGAGAAAGACCTTCAAGGATGGGGAAGATTTTCCCAGGAAGAGTTAAGAAGAAAGAGAAAGCAGTTTGTGAGGAGACAGGGAAGTGTAAATGTGAGGGGAGTGAATCCGAGGCCTTCTTGACTCTGGGTGTGACAGCAGAGAGGACCTGCCCATGAGCTTTCTGAGAAGGAGCCGAAGGTTTCACGGCCCATGTGATAAGGGGCTAGAACACTGAAGGGCAGAATCTGGACTTTATTCAGTAAGAATGGGGAAGTACTGCAGGTCCCTGAGTAGAGAAGTGTGATCCTGCAAGCTGAGTATGGCAATGATTCGTCAGGTGATGCCTCAGAGGTTCTTTGAATGGCACATAAACCAGAGACAGGAAGGTGGGTCCAGCCGTTTCTGTGGCCCAACAAGAAGTAACAAGCAATAAGTAAAGTGATATCCGTGGGAATGGCAAGGGAGGGGCGGTTACAGGTGACATTTCAGACAGGAATTGATTGGATGTGGGGAGGGCCCAAGGATGTGGGGAGGGAGCTGTCAGAAACAAGTGACCCTCTCTAAATTTTAGCCCAGTGACTCAGAGAAAATGTCAAAAAGTGGAATTGGTTTTCGAGGAAGACACTGATCCATTCTGGACATGTTGAATTTAAGATGCCATTAGGAAAACCAAATTAAGGCACCTTGCAGGCAAATTGCACATGTAACATCCTGGCTTCTGGGATTTGACAGGTGGCTGCAAAGAGAGGAAGGCAGTAAGGGATCTCCAGAGAAGGAGATCACACAGGAAGGAAGTGAGGGATGGGAAGTCATTGTTGAAAACTTGGGGGTCAAGGACATTTAGAGAGCAGAGGGAGAAAGAAGGGGTGGCCAGTGCGCTAGCCGAAGAAAATGTTCAGCCACTCACCCTGCAGGGAAGGCGCGGGGCAGGGTGGCTGTGTGTAGGTGTGGAATTGGCCAGACTCAGGGTGAAGCTATGATTCTGCTAGTGTGGTCTTGTAACCTGGAACATCTATCTGAGCGCCCTGTCAGCGCTTCCCTGCATTGTAAATGGGAGTTGTTGCAAGGGCGAAATAAGATGTAAGGTGTTTGGTGCAAGGTCTTGTGACAACTAGCACTAAGGAATGGTGCCTATGACCTTTATTAGGCAGGGAGGAGTCAACAGAATGAGCTGCTGCTGTAGGGGGCTGGGAGCTCTTGCAACAGAAAGCATCAAGAAGATTGTCAATACAGCCCCGTCAGCGGCTGAGGGTGGCAGAGTCCAGATTGCAAAGGAGCAGGGCGTAAGTGACAAGGCAAGAAATAGATGGATATTCTGTTTTTTCCTTTCTCTATCTGGACAAAGGTCTTTTTCCTTCCAAGGCATAGCTGACATTTTCTCTCTCTAGAGCTTCCCTGGGACGGCTCTGTTTTCTGGTGTCTCTATGGGTCTTTGTTCTTTATATGAGGTCCCAATGATGCCATCCAGTCATTTGCTTTCTTACAGGCATGTTTTCCACCAGCCACCCACACTGATTAGCTTGAGAGTGACTCAAGGCAGAACTGATGGCCTTGTCATAGAACAGCCTCTGATCGAGTGCTTGCTGAACAGCTGGCTAGCTCTGAGCATGAAGCAGAATGCAGGACAGCTTAAAGAAGAGAGGAGGGAGAGGAGGGGGACTCCTGCTCGGGGCACCCCATCTCCTGGATGTGAGATCACCTGTATGGAGCTGGCCCAGTAGCAGGTGAGTGGGCCGGAGGGGAGGGAGTGAAGAAGTCCATGTATTGAGTCACCTGAGGTGTCATTTAAAGAGACAGGAATAACAACACATCAGTGGGACCTAAACTGAGATTAGAATTACCGATTTGACTTGTAGTGTCACCTGTCACCCAGGGTCAGGAATATCCCTTACCACAAGGTTACCTGGGGCCTGGGATTTGAAATCTGTCAGCCTTTCTGGGCTGGTCTGTTGCCTCAGTTTATGCTCACACAGTTGCCTCAGGATCAGTGTGTACAGAAAGGTACGTAAAACTGTGCAAGGGAGATGGACTGGGAGAATGAGGAAGAGGGGAGGGATGGGAGGTGCCCATCACCTGGACACGGGGCTGAACAACCACACAACCTCATGGCGGACACCAGCCCACCTTGACCTTTGCTCACAAGTCTGTGAGTCGGGATGTGGGGGTGGCGATGGCTCATCCTGCTGGGCTTCCTACGTGTTTGAGACAACCGGACGGACTGGTATCGGCTCCGTGTGGTCTCTCTTCATCTCGCAGATTCGCCTGGGCTTGTTTCCCAGCAGATAGCTTCTGAGGATAGGTTCGGGACCGGCACCTGCCACTTCCTCCACATTCCAATGGGCAGAGTGACTTGCAAGGCTGGCCAGACTCAGGAGTGGAGAGAAATACCCTCCACTTCCAGATGAGAAGAGCCACAAAGTGACATCACCGCAGGCTGGATGCAGGGCAGGGCCCGACGGCGGAATGCGTGGGCTGTTTTCACGGTCAGTCTACCCCAGGACGCTCCAGGAAGGGGAAAGGGACAAGGAAGAGGGGCACTGTGGCCAAGCAGGGGAACTTCTGCATTCAAAATCTTGGAGATGGATCGCTTTCAGTTCCTGATAAGGCCTGAGGTGTGGCCCTAAGACTTGCTGTTTGATACTGTAATCTGTCACACACAATGTAATTTAGTGAATTGGGTGAAGGATCTTCAGGGTTTCTTATATGATTTATTTTGAATGGTTGTCATTTATTATAAAATTAATTTATTTTATAATAATTTTATTTAATTGGCTGGACATGGTGGCTCAAACCTGTAATCCCAGCACTTTGTGAGGGCAGACTGCTTGAACCCAGGATCTCGAGACCAGCCTGAGCAACATAGCAAGACCTCATCTCTACTAAAAAAAAAAAAAAAAAATCCAAAAAATTACCCAGGCGTGGTGCCATGTACCTGTAGTCCCGGCTACCTGGGAGGCTGAGGTGGAAGGATCGCTTGAGCCCAGGAAATCAAGGCTGCAGTAAGCTATGATCATGCCACTGCACTCCAGCATGGGCAACAGAGCAAGACCCTGTCTCAAAATAACAATTTTATATTAATTTGTAATAATTTATTTTAAAAGAATTGTATGAAGGACCTGTGCCTTGAGGCACAGGGGCACTGATACAAGGTAGGTGATCAGTGTAGATATTTGCTGAATTAATCTCATTCAGTCACCTGTGAGATGATTCAGGTAGAAGGAAAGTGAGGGCCCGAGAGGTCAAATGTTTGCGCAGTCCCACACAGGTGAACACACTTTTCTCCTGGATCCTAGTCTACCCTACCTTTTTTTTCCCCCCTTTTGAAAATTAATGTTTTGTAAGTGATTTAAAAAAAAAAGGAAAATGATCGGGCTGGGCGCAGTGGCTCATGCCTGCAATCCCAGCACTTCAGGAGGCTGAGGCGGGCGGATCACGAGGTCAGGAGTTTGAGATCAGCCTGGCCAACATAGTGAAACCCCCGTCTCTACTAAAAATACAAAAATTAGCTGGGTCTGGTGGCGCACACCTGTAGCCCCAGCTACTCGGGAGGCTGAGGCAGGAGAATCGCTTGAACCCGGGAGGCAGAGGTTGCAGTGAGCTGAAATTGCACCACTGCACTCCAGCCTGGGCAACTCAAGAATGAGAATCTGTCTCAATAATAATAATAATAATAATAATAATAATAAATTAATAAAATAAAGAAAATGATTGAAGACACAGTGACATTAAGTTTTGTAATAATTTTCATTTAATCCATGTCTCCCCCTAAAACTATTATGCCTACTGTACTATATTATATGGAATGAAATAGATGATCCTACAACATAAGGGATCAGATTCTATGCCAACTTCTAACATCATGGCTTAGGAAGTCAGACCCAAGAGTGTTGTTCAATTATGTTATCATTAGCCTAATTTATTTCCACCCTGGATTTTTCCATGATCACTAATTTCACACTTCCTCTGGATCCTCTCTTTCAGTTTCAGGATTCGGGAATGGCTTCGGGGAAAGAGAACCCTTAAGTTTTTACTTTCAATCCACTTGTCAGTTTCCCCTTTGTCAACTGCACCTCCAAACTGCATGATGTTCTTGGCAGAGAAAATTCCCAGACCACAGAGGAGTGGTGTCTGTAGAAGATAGAGCAAGAGGAAGCAGCTCAAAGACAAGGTTCCAGAATGAGCTTGCACCATGGGATGCAGCCAGTGGACAGTGACGTGACCAGGAAACATCTGTGGTGGCAAGCGGCATGGCCAGCGAGTCAGAGGCGACTGTGCCGGAATTGAATGTGCAGGCACTCCTGTTATAAAGGAAAAGAGGAAAGTGCAGGCAAAGGCTCTTATTCTCATGTGCTGATTATACCAATTCAAATAGATGACATCTGTGTGGGCATTCAGATGGGCATTTTGAATTCTAATGATTGTGTGAACATGAATCACCTAATCACAATTAGATCTCTATTTTCTCCTTTCCCAATCACACCCTGAACCCAACAACATCTAAAGGAATGGATGTGCAATATTGGCACAAATGGATGTGACACACGTTAGGCCTTTGTGCACCCTGGAAGGGAGGGCAGATTCTGCTCCAAGTGTGCTGGAAAGCACTGGGGAGGGATCTGAACTGGCTGACGCCACACTATAGTAGAGAGAATGGAGTGGAATGAGGGGAAGGATGCCAGGAGGAGGCCACTTAGGAAGCTGCTGCGTAGCCCAAGCAAGAAAGAAAGGCGACTTTTCTATCAGGGGAAGGGATGGGAGGAGGTTGGACTGAGGCCGGGATATGCTCTGAGGTCAAGGCGACAGGGTTGCTGAAGGATGGAGTGTGGGCTGTGAGATGGAGGAGTCCTGGCGAGTGCTCGACTGGTTGGCCTGAGTGTGTGGATGGCTGGTGGTGCCGTTGATCGGTGCAGAGAAGGCTGGTGGGAGGGCAGCTTAGGGGTGGGCTGGGTGGGTCCGTGCAGGAAAGACCACACTTTGATCATGTTGGTTTTGAGGCATGTGCAGGCTAGGCACATGGAGATGCGGAGTGAATTTGAGTGCCATCGGCATACAGATGGACTCAGGCCATATGAATTTGTGAGATGCCAGCCCAGGTCTTGTTCGGAAGAGGCAGACGATGTTTGGCTGCAATGGCTAAGTGGGGCTTAGATTTAGCAGGTGGAGCAGACCGTGGCAGGGTGAGACCTTCTGTCTGAGAAGTTAGGCATGGGGTGTCCATGGCACAGCCCTGGGAGTTGCCGCACAGGCAGCGGTGGTTGTGAGGGTGAAAGTCAAAGTTGAGGATGTAGATGAGTGACTTGAAGTCATGAGGGGGATGAGGGCACCTGAGGAAGGGGTGTGAAGCAAGAGAGCAGTGCAGAGATGAGAACCCTGACCTTTATGAGACGGGAGACAAATCTGCAGATGAAAGGTGCGGTGTCACACAAACTCCAGTCGAGAGGCGATAAATATCTCACATCTTCTGAGCTGCATCGTCCTTTCTAACCAAGCATAGAAATTCTGTCCGGCAAGCTGTCAGGCACATTTGTAGAAAAGGAGGAGGAAAGTCATCGAGGGCCACACTGGAGTGAGACGGGATCAGCAAGAATGGAAAGAATCAAGACCATGACGTTTACACGACTTCTGGTTACTTCTCCCCAAGCTCCAGAAGACAAATCTTGCATGGACCTCTGGGATGCATGGGTGACTGCGGACAGGCCTAAAGAAGAGGTAGTCATTTGTGGTGAGGCTCCTCCTCTCTTTCAGGGATTTTACAGGGATCCTTCCAGCCAGTGGGTCTGCGCTGGATCCTCCATCAGGCACCCCTAGTGCTGGGGGAGGCCCTCAGCACTCCAGCCTCAGAGCCCAGACAGCGCTGGTTCCCAGCTCCCCTCCTGCCATGTCTGTGAGTCCATCCTCCTGTCCCACCTTGGGGCTTTTAAGCCCTATTACTGTGGCCCCTGGGTAAGACAGTTTGAGGAAGAATGAACAAGGTGAGGGCCACTGACTTTCAGGATTTAGCTCCTCTTCGCACATGAATTTCCTGTCTTCTGTCACCCACCCTTTGCTGTTTGAAATGCACGCCACAGCCCAACATCAGCATCACCCAGGAGCTCGTTAGAAATGAGGCTCTCATTCTCCACCCAACCTCCTGAATCAGAATCTGCATTTTAACAAGATCACCAGGGATGTTTGTGTGCATGTTAACATTTGAAAAGCATTATTAGGCACAGTGGCTCATGTCAGTAATCCGAGCACTTTGGGAGGCCATGGTGGGCAGGATTGCTTGAGGCCAGGAGTTCAAGACCAGCCTGGGCAAATAAAGGAAACCCCATCTCTACAAAACATTTTTTTTTTTTTTGGTGAGATGGAGTCTCGCTCTGTTGCCCTGGCTGGAGTGCAGTGGCATGATCTCAGCTCACTGCAACCTCCATCTCCCAGGTTCAAGCAGTTCTCCCACCTCAGCCTCCAGAGTAGCTGGGATTATAAGCGCATGCCACCACACCCAGCTAATTTTTGTATTTTGAGTAGAGACAGGGTTTCACCATGTTGGCCAGGCTGGTCTCGAACTCCTGACCTCATGATCCATCCGCCTCGGCCTCCCAAAGTGCTGGGATTATAGGCATGAGCTACCATGCCCGGCCAAAACATTTTTAAACATTAACCAGGTATATGGTGCATGCCTGTAGTCCCAGCAACTCAGGAGGCTGAGGTGAGGGAATCCCTTGAGTCTGGCATTTTGAAACTGTGGTGAGCTCTGATAGCACCACTGCACGCTAGCCTGAGTGAAAGAGTGAGATTCCGTCAAGAAAGAAAAGAGGAAAGGAAAAGAGAGAGGAGGGGAAGGGGAAGAGGAAGGAAAGAAAGAAAAGCAGTATTATATATTATTTAACGACACTTCACCCAAGGTTTTCCAAATAAAAACTTCCGAAGAAACTAGACAACAAACATCCTTGCCTTTCAATAAAGGACTCACTTGACAATTTTAGGTATGTGCCAAAGCACCAAAGAAAAACAACACAAATTGTTGATGTTCAGCTTAGTGACTAACATGGCTTCAATACCTACCTGGCATAGTGCTTCACTCACTCTTTAAAGACTACCTTTATGCACTTTTACTATTTCACTGCCACCCTAAACACCTAAGCGATTATATTCTTATGCCTACTGATGATGAAGTCCGTGAAGTTCAACAACATCAACCCTTTGCCCACTGCCCCACCGGACTTGAACCAAGCTTTCCCAAATCCAATTCCTTTGATAGTTCCATACCTTCTCCATGTGCCAGAGATTGAGAAGAGTGAGCTACATCCTTTTTTGGGGTCTTACTAGTTTTGCCTTTATTACTTAGACAGCTTCAGGTCAGCTGCTTCCTTGTATACCAGTCACAAGTGGGTTTTCATTTTACAAAGGAAACATAGAAGTTATCATTTTCTAGAAAAAGGTACAATCACTCTTCCAAGACATTTTAGATATACTTACAGGCACACTTTGGAGCAGTTCAATAATTAAAAGTTTTACCTGTCTGCCTGACCACCAATGCAAAGGAAACATAATTAAAAGTTTTTTTTTGTTTCTTCTCCACGATAATAGTTTATAGAGTAGCTTAATGAAACACTGAAACTCCAGAATGGAAGAGGACGTGTGAAATCCCCTTTCCGGTGTGAACTTATTCTTAAACAATCAAATGAAAGCGCCCGTCAGCCTTTGCAGGATGCTAACCATCTGGCCCCTGCATCCTGTCTGAGTCACCCGATAAATAGCTGCAGGTTGTTTTAAGCACACTGAGCCCTGCACAAGCTGTTTTGCTCTGCTACTCACTGCCCTTAGGTGCAGATATTTACTCCCAGGGTTGAGCATATTTTCAGCCACACCTGGATGCCTCCAGGTAATTAGGAGGAAACTTGGTGGAAAGGAAACAGCATACCTTTGAGTAGCCTGAATGTGTATGTAGGAGAAAGGTTAAGTGGGAAGAGAGGGAAGTTCTCTCCTGCGTTGAGTAGCTTTGCTTCCTATTGGAAAAGTGTGCAATTGAAAGGAAGTAGAAATGTTAAAAAGCTCTGTGACTGCCTCCTGCTGTATTCAATTAGCCTTCCGGAGGATGCCAGAAGGAAGGCTCGATTGCCAGAGTGGCTCCAGGACTTAAGAGAAGGCTGGAGGGCAAACCCAGGGGGCTGCCATCTTGCAGACCTGGTGTGAGACCAAGGTGAGGCAGCTGTGTGATTGGATTATACACAGGAGCCTTACTTCAGTTTCTATTGCAGTGGCCAGAGCTATGCATGCCACCCTTTACATGGAGTCTTGAAAAGTCACCTAATTTTAATCACTCAGAAGGGGAAAGTGATAAGAAGAGGGAGGGCGCATCTCTCTGAAATGCCCAAGCATTGGCCTTGCTGGAATGGGCCTCATTAGGGGAGTGGGGCCACCACCCTTGGAGCATCGGAGGAGCCCCAGGGCTGGCTCCGGCCTTTTGGCTGGACGTCACTGTTTCAGGCCGAGCAGATAAAAGCAGGAGGCACTGACCGTAAGCCAAGAGTTCAATGTTTTCAGAAAATGGACCGGATGGGAGGAAAGTGTGAGTGTGCTTTGAGAGCAATAAACAAAATATTGGCTGCCTGCCAGGGAGGAGTGTGCTGACATCTTCAAGCAGGAGATCCTCGAAAGCTCCACAGAGAGGCTGAGGAAGCCTCCTTAGGGCTGTGGATGGGGTGGCGGGGCAAGGGCTGCCGTGGCCCCATGCAGCAGTGGGCATCGGGCCTCGGCCACACCCAGCAGGGAGGCCAGCAGAATCCCAGGCAACACCCCTAGGGTTCGCTCCTCATGCCTCCACTCCCAGGCCCAGCTCCCTGAAGGGCAGGGCGGTGGAGGAGAAGCAAAGCCAGGCGGTGCCCTCTGCCAGCTCTAGCTCACAGGCTGCTGGGGCTGACGGGTGGAGCTTGTGGAGACGAAGCCCCTTACCCCTGAAGTGAAGGTTGTGGGGTTTCCTGGAGGGAGGGCACCAGGCTCCGTTCTTAACTGAGGCTTCCCATCCCCCAAGGGAGGGTGATGACGGGTGTCCAGACACATCCACAGGGACAAAGGAGGTTGCCAAGGCTGACCGCAGGAGTTTCTCTTCTAATGCCTTTCAAATGAACTGGTCTGTGGTGCTGCTCAGGGAACGCCTGCTCTCACACACCCAGCACTGTACAGTTACAAAGCAGATCCTGCAACGCCACTGCGGACATCATAGTTTCTGGGAAGTCTCTGGCCTCCGTGTGAAAAGACAGCTTGACGGGTTGAATTCTTTCAAACCTTATCTTTGGTTATTCTAATAGGATATGACAATCTCCTCTCCTCAGCATGTCAATAAATGTTTATTGCCCTTTACTGTGTGAGAGCAGGGGTCCTGCCACCGGTTGCTTTTATTTTCTTTTAGACAGCATGAACATTTTTAGCAGATGTAACCAATGATGGTCATTAGGATTA